CCTCACCTCCTTTTCGCGACCATCAGCTCCACCAAATAATTCTGCCCCGCGCGCCTTTTGTTTCTCAAATTCAACGAGCCACGCGAATTTCTCAACTGTGGAAAGTTTGATGTTTTCACCGGATTTTTCTCATTTCGCCATCTTCTTTTTTTGATCTTTAACGTTCTATGGTTGCTGAGAACCTGTGTATTTTGATATCTCGATATCTCGACTCAAAGACCAACAATTTCCCGATTTATTTGAGAAGAATTTTTCAAATATTTGATTACTATTAAGTTGAACTTTAGTGATTTATGTTTTTTAAAAGATAGGGATGTTGATTGTTTAAACTATTAAATTATTTATTTGAATATCTTGGAAATCGAGGATTCTGAAAAAAAAATTCAGACGAGAATTAAATGGTTTTGAAAGTATATAGTTTCAATTATTTTTTGAGTGAAAGTATAAAGGACGATGAAGATCGATATTTCTTTTCTGAAGGAAATTTAATTATATTTTTTTAATCATCCGAATCTTGACTAAACTTTTTAAAAAAGGAATTTAATTTTTTAAATTGTTATTTAAATCGAATATCTAATATATTCTATCAATATCAATAAGATTACAGCGATCTTTAATATTAATAATAAAGTATAAATTAGAATTATTTTATATTTTTCACTCAGTAACAATTCTATTCTATTTTTTCAATAAATAAAATATTTATTACGAGGTAACGGAATAATAACTTGATAGAAACTTAATAGAAGAGATTGTTTTATGATCTATTTTTTAAAGGAGATAATTTTTTAGCTATTCGTAAAAAGGATAATATTTCTAAAGGGATTCATCTGGTGAATCTTGCCATTTTCTCTCTTAGATCATATTTCACTACCCATGAAATGCTTGAATACCTAGATTTATAGTCTCGATAGTTTTAGAAAAGCCCAGGCAACAGAGCTGGATACTTTATTATCCTGTTGATTTCTCTCTCCAGGAAATCTATCGAGATTTTCAAAGATAATGACATAAAAAAATCGAGAATAGATAAATAAATTTTATTTTCAACTATCATTATCAATTATTTTTTATTTTATTTTTCATTCATTGATTCATCTCATATCCTATCAAACATAAATCATCTTTCATCTAAAGAAATTTTGAAGATTATAGTTTTTACAACCACTAAATTTTCCTTTTAAATTATATTCTACCTAAAAAAAAAATGTAGCTGTTATTTCAAGCAATTATTAAACAGCTCTTAATAGACACCTAGAATATTAATAAAAAAAAAATTATTCAACGATAACATTATAATTTCATGAAAAATATCGAACAGAGGTGATTGGAAATACGGATTGTTAGTCGAAAAGCAGACTGTTCGCGAAAGAATCGATAGAAAGGGGGATGAAAACTCGACGATTTCGAGGGATTGAAAAAGTTCTTGAAAGCACTCTCGTGGAACCTCATTGGGTGTCACGAAGAAGAAGAAGCTCGTTTAATGAGCAAACCTTTTTTTCTTCACTGACCGAAAGAAAACGAGAGGCATAAAAGCCATCCTTTTCGTGAATACGCATTGAAATTTACCTGGAAGAATCTCACTTTTATTGAAACGACTGGTATCGATCACAAAATTGAAAACTTTTCGTTCGAGAGAAACAGAAGTTATATCGAAAGTACGAGAGCATCAGAATTTTTCTTATCCTCTTTCTTTAAGAAGACATAAAATCTTTAATTGCAAATTTTAAACTTGGAAAGTTTTCGATTTTATAAGTGAAACTTTTAAAATTCAATTAGGTTGACGAGTGAAAGAAAGAAGATTCGTGTACATATATATATTATATATAATACATATATAGTTAGAAAGTTTTTCAACTATTAAAAAATAGTTTAAAATTCCATTTCCTTTTCGAGACCAAGTAATCATGCATATTTTATTATCTTTGCACTCATTGTATATATCGATCATCGATCATTATTCGTATGGATCATCTTAACTATAATTCGAGTTAATATTAGATACGAAGGTCAATTCTTATTTCAAGACCTTTCTTCCTATCCAACTTGTATTTATGGTCGTTTATTGCATGTTAACGTTTCAATCGTCTGGAAACTTTCTCTGCTACACTATTTTTATTAGCTTTTTCTCTTTCATTATGACATAACCTATGACGTAATATTTAAAAGAGGAATATCATGTATTATGCACTCGTCAACACAACTGTTACCATTTACTCATTCTTTCATTTCATTTTCTATATCACGGATTAATTAATGCGTTTTACAAGTATTTTTTAAATAACAAATATCTCAAAACATAATTTTTATTATCATTTATGATGTTAGTAAACAAATGAAAAATAATGATTTCAAAATTAATGAAAAAAAAGTATTAAATTCATACGAATTTTCATTAAAAATACAAAAGGGAATAAACATGAAAAAAGTTTTCGTCGCTTCAAGAAATTAAGAAAGAAAAGAAGGAAAAAAATAGTATCGATATAAATTTACATCATTGGCTACGTGTGACTCAATTATGGATGAAACCTAGTCTGCGTATTCATAAATTTTAACTTTGTGAGTTAATTAAACTTCCTACCATGTTTCTGCAGATATACTCGTATGACACGTAAAAAAAAAAAAAAAAAAAAAAAAAAAGAAAAAAAAAAAAGAAAAAAAAAAAAGAAAAAAAAAAAAGAAAAAAAATAAAGAAAAATAAAAAAAAAGGAAAAAAGAGACTAGCGTCAATTGAAGAGGAAAACTTTAACAAACAAAAGATCTCAAGTTTACATGACTACAATTCACTCGACACTGATTACAATTCACTCCCTGTCTCTCGACTTTGAAAGAAAATCGAAACAATAAAATCACAAAGACAAATGAAACAATTGTAATCTGCAAAGGATTGTTTTGATTTTTTTTTCTGAGTTGCTGATTTGTAAAAATGAAAAAACTATTGTATATTTCACCACATTTTGATTTTTTCTCCCTTTTTTTATACTTGCAAAAGAATTCACGATGAAGACGAAAGATATTAGTTTTTTTAATTAATATCTATCGTGAATTTTTTATAATAATAATTGTTGATGATGTTTATTATGAATCTTGTTATAATCTATCATGGGCTTTTGATTTAGTATCTATTATGTAATTTAGATAATTATCTCGTAATTAGTGTTTGTTATTACAAACTAACTAATTACATTAAATAAATAATTATACTGGTTACTGTATATTATATTAACAGAAAATTTATATTTAAATATTAAACTATTTGAAAAGTTCTTTTCATTCTTTTACAGATAATATTATGTAAATAACGCAACTATTTTATTTCTCATTAAATTCCCTTTCTGGAGTAATTAGCAGTTATTCAATTCGTTAATTGCATTTCCACCGACAACCTCATAATAAAGTTATAAATCATTCCTTCGCGTACTTTTCATTTAAACACTATTCTATTGACTACTAATAATTCTAAAATCAATAGCATCGAATAATTAAATATGTATTTAATATATAAATAATTCTATTTTTGCTTCGTTTTAATATAACGTACACATATATGTCTCTTTATCATTCTCTTTAACATTTGAAATACTATATTGATTATTGTAAGATTTGTAGCTGATAACAATTGACCTATTCCACTTGTTTGACCACAATCGATCTCTATTATTCTACTACCTAATTATTATCGATTTATACTTATATTTAGAATCGAACTATAAGTGACTTTTGTATAATCAATGTTTATTCATAATCGATCTATTCTGTTCGATATTCCGATACTTCTAACGATAAATAACGTTTTATTTGTATAAATTACGAAAATTTTATTTACTTGTCCGATTACAGATGTTTTAATCTAATTAACTAACCTATTTATTTTACTCCGACCGTTAAAGTTGTCCACTACTTGCTTATTAATTTACATCAATTATCTAACTATAAATGATCTATACATTACAAGTATATTAATATAATTGATATATTCCACTTATTAGATAGAAGATTGGAAAAATTCTGTTTATATTTTTTTATCATTATTCGTTTTATCGTATTTTCAACAACAATTCAACAAGAAAAACATAGTAAAAATATTTCATCGACTTTTTGAAATTTATAAAACGAAAAATAGAAAAGCCATTTGGAGAAGATTTCGCGGCAGGAATATCAAAAGGCGATCATCGATAGCGGAAAAGGCCAATAAATCTATTCCAATCGTAACAATCGTAAATGGAAACAATTTCCAAGTTAACTTGTGGGTTAAGTACGGTCGATGCTATTCCACTTCGAATGTTGTGCACCTTCATGAATGGAGATTAATAGGGAACCAACTAGTTCCAAGTAGTTCCACCTATGTACTTTGATTCCAAGTTACTTAGTATTTCACTCTGATGGCTGCTGCTATCGATTTTAAACCGATATGCTGCCGGTTTCAAAGGTTTTGCTATTCAAGCAAATTGTGCTGTTGAGAATTTGCCGGGGATTCGCCAGAATCTCTTGAATTGTTTGTGTTTCTTCGGAGAAATGTAGAGAATGGGGACTATCTAGAGAAAATGAATCGTGTTTTGTATATATAAGAAAGTGGCAATGAGGTAATGGAGTACGCGGAATCGTTTCGCAAAAACGAGTGGATGGATGGAAGAGAGATTGAATTTGCTTTCGAGAAGCGAACATTGTAAATTGATATATTATCGAATGATTTCAAATATCTAACGTTAGATTATTTTGAAAATTTTCATTTTATTTCGTATATATTTCTCGAATATCATTTCAAAGAATACACTTTGTAATTATAATATTTCAAATAGACACTTTTTATATCAATTTCAAATAAAATTTGTCCAAATCTAATCCTCACATATGTACAATTTCAAAGAGAAGCAGCAATGAAATTACGCTTCTCTCTTATCCGTAAAAATTGCATTTATTCAAAAAACATTTGTTTTTCCATCCATCTTATCGTCCAATTACCTTCTTATTCTCATCGATCTGTATCTGTTCTCTTTCAACAGGTATATCATCACGTCTCTGTGCGACAGCTGCGAGAGCAGCGACTCAGTGGTGGCGGTGGTATTCTGGGTAGGGTACTTCAACAGCGCGCTAAATCCACTCATCTACGCCTACTTCAATCGTGACTTCCGGGTCGCGTTCAGAAAGACGTTGAAGAGCTGTTGCGTTGCCCTACGTCCGGTTCGCGACCTACGCCAAGCTCATAGGAAGCAGGATCTCGTGCACAGTAACGCGTCCTCGGAATTACACGTGAATAATCAACTGAGAGCCAGCGAGATGACGAACGTGCACATCGAGGCGTGCATCTGAGTTTTCAGCCAAGGACACACTCGAACTTTCGAAATGAAGAGGAAGAAAAAGAAGAGAAAGGATCTAATCTTCGTTAAATTTAAGACGATCGTTCGATCGACGACTGTTGCAAATTTTTGATTCGTGTACAATTAGAGATTTTACGAATTGACATCTCCAATCGGCAATAAACGGCCAATGACAGTTATGTAACCAGTGTTAACTAATTAATGGTCAGAGATCACGAAGATTGTTTCGCTTGCCAATTAAAAAGTGGGACAGTGCGGAAGACATTTTCGATCGCCAATTAAAGAAAGGAGTCGATCAATGTTTTGAACCGTGATTCGAATTCGTTGTTCTATCGGTAAAAAGTGTCTGTTGGCTTTTTAGCTTAAAACAGTTTCAGTGTTGAATAGCGAACTTGTCGAGATATCTATGTTGCGAGCCAATTTATAGGAGAAAAAAGAACGATTTGATACTTTGGACACCTTGTTCAATTGATGATTCGAAAGACTGTTAAATTTTTTATATTATTTCGTTTCATTTTTTTTTACCAAGACGAATTATATTAATAATTACCTATGATGTACTTATAAAAGGATTTAATTTATGAAAGGATGAGTAGGTATATTTACACAATTTTTCACCATAGTAATTTCTTTTAAATGTTATTGTAAATAAAATACTTTTGATTGATAAATAATAAGAATGAATCGTTTCTTTCAATAAGAAAACTTTGAAACTTTTAAAATTTTCGAGTAACTTGTACATAATATTTATGATTAAAGAAATTTATATTTTTTCTGCGAAGAAATTATTAAAAGATTTAATCAAATGTAGAAATTGAATATTTATATATATATATTCGATTTTTGAAAGAATAAAAAAAATATCTATTTTTATGTACGGATAAATTTAATGCAAAAATTTAAGAGCCAAATGAACTATATCGAAAAATAAAATATAAAAATATATGCTTACTCATCCTTTGATCAATTTTACACGTAATATTGTTATCAATTATCGACTCGTTCTCGTAGTTGATTAAGTTGAATTTCATGGTATCGTGAACACGAATGAACATAACAAATACGTAGAATATGCCTTGTTAGAATCATTATTAAAAAAAAATTCGAGGAAAATTGAGAAACAATTGAGCACGATTCTTATATACGATACATACGTCGTTATCCTCGTTACTACACTTGATGTAGATAACGTGATAATAAAAGAGAAGTTCGATACTTGAAGGAACATAACGAAACAAGGAATTTTTAACATGGTCAACCTATTTTAAGACGGTGGTTGCTCACTCGCTCAGACGCTGTCGTCTATTTTCTCCGTTTTATCAAGTCCGTAAATAAGGTTGCTGCCCCCGGGGCAGATGGATGATCCGATTTGAGTAATATTTTAAGATTGGCCTGATAACGTCACTTTCCACTCCATTCTTGCTTCTTTCTCGCTCGCGTTATTAAATTATCCCTCTTTCCCTTTCGAAACGAAAATAGGACAGATGAAAAATTCAAGATAAAATAATGAAATTGTTTTCCTAGTGCTTGTAAAAAATGTATATATATATATATATATTTTGCTTCATTCGTGTATTTTGTTTTTGTTATTCTTCATTGTATATAATTGAATACCATTTTTTGTCATCATCATTTCTAATTACTTTCTTCTTCTCAAATTTGATTGAAAAATTTAATAAACCGTTCCAACAAATGAAGCCTTTTATTTGTTTAACAAAAAAAAAAAAAGAGAAAAAATGCTTCATTTTATATAATATATATAAATTACTTAATTAAATTTAATTCAACATACTTAATAAATTACTCGAATTTCGCTAAAATCTCACCAACATTTTTCATTATTTTAAATCACATTTTCTTAAAATGACTGTATCTAAAAAGAATGGAAAAAATGAGTGACATCGCATCGCACGATGCAGTTAATTGAAATTTTTAATTAAGAAAAAATCCATTCGATAAAAAGACACGTCGATGAATTTATTAAAAATCATTTCAAAGTCAGACGCAAAAAATTTACGTAAAACAAACACGATTGTGGTCGGTGAACATCGCATTAAAGTAGGAAAATTACCTTAAGTATGAAAATGCCTCGGTTTCATGTTGACACGAGGAATTAAAGGATAAACGTAGTCGACGCGAAAGGAACGCAAGATTATCCTCGAAAGGACGAACCTCTTGTATTTGAATAAAGCCAAAGAAATGCTGTATTTGCCAAACAAAAAAGAGGAAAGAGTAATTTTCATAAAAATTCTTTTTACATGTTTCGATATTCGTACAAGAATTACGTGAAAAAGTTAAATTTTTATAAAAATAATAGAAATTTCTTCTTCTTCTTATTATTATTATATAATTGGCATAACTTTTAAACTTAATTATATATATGTTTTTAAATATACTTCCGAATAAACACGATACTCAATAATTAACTTACAATCGTTTCACGATAAATCTCGACATTATATAATCTTAGTATCAAGATTGGTTCCACAGAATTCAAGTTTTAACGCTATGGAAATGGTTATATCGTCGATTTAACACGAAAGCGCATACCTGTTATAATCGAATCTGCGCGCAACATTTCCGCTTCAAAGGAAACGACATTGCAAAGCAGCTCGTTCGAATAATGAATGAACGGATAACAGAATATTTACAATATTCTGATAATAGGGATTTATTGAAGATTCAAGCTACGAATGAAATTGTTTTGGACCGAACGAGCAAAATGGACCTCTGGATTGGATTTCTGAAAATTTTACAGCATTCAAATTGAAGTCGACAAAAGGGACAACTTCTACAAAAAAAAAAAAAAAAAAAAAAAA